TATAGCCCCAACAGATTCCCTAGCTCTTTACAATATTATAAAAGGGGGAGATTTAACAATAAATAAGACAATTACAAAAAACTTACAGGAATGAGAGGTTGAAGATGACCCTGCTCAAACAAGCTTACAGTCTAATGCTTACGAGCTTACAGTCTATATACTGCTGTCCTGTGTCAGCCAATGCCTCTGAATTGAGTGACTACTTCAGCATTGATTAAAAGCCAGGAGAAAAACTTATTTTTTAATAGGTTTTTCTTCTAATCTATACTTTGCAAAACTGCTAGCACAATATATAGATACAATGAAATGCTCTTTCAAAAGCGCATACGAAAAAAAAAAAGTAGTACAGGTATCCTTTAGTATCCTTTATATAGTGTGAACAATGTCAGGATTTTGTATTCCAAATGACCCCGTATAGCACTGGAAGGATTAGCTCCATTTGGTACAGGGCCATTCGGACTTTAGCGAACTGCCCTGGAAGTGTTTCAAACGTCCCTCTGGTCTTAATGGAGGCAAAAGTCCTCTATCCATGTCAATTTAATACATTTAGAACAAACTTACCTTTTCTGCTCTCTTATCCAGTTACTTCCAATGTTCATAGCTACTAAATAATAATTTTCTACTTATCTTAGTGTTATTATGGAAAGATTCAAAGATATTGCCTACTTAAAGGAACACTGTAGCGTTATAGCGATAGTGCCGTTCCCAACGCTATCATACCCTAGTTGCAGTTTAGTGTTAGTCCCCCCCCACCTTTCCAGTAAACATTTGAAAAAAAAGCTTTTTACTTCCATTTTCTCCAGTGCTAAAACTCCCTTGGCACTGCTGCCTGCTCCTACTCCCGTAACATCATATGGCTCTCAAGACGATGGCCCACCCAATGCTCCTTACAGAGGAGCACTAGAAACTGATGCACATGTGTGGCATGTTTTAAATAATTCTCATAAGAAGCATATAATTCAATGCTTTCTTATGAGCTGCAACCTCATGACCAAAATAATTTCGATCGATGTGGAGAAAGCTCCTCTAGTGGTGCTAGAGGTGCGTGCACTCTGCAATGTAAACATTACTGTTTCTAAACTGAAATTTGAAATTAACTTTATATTCACTTTGAGTTCCTAACAACTCACATTTTTTAGAATAACCCTCTGTTATGTATTATTATCCCTTTATATAGGGCTTATAAGTCTATCAAATGTTTCTATAAGGATAAACTTTATCAATTAAATATGGCATCAACATTCATGGCTGGAGACATGTGTAAGGGTTAAACATCCTTTTCATGATATATTCCCATGAATAACTCTTCACCAAATTACAATGATTTAACAATGATTTAATTGGGTGTGATAAACAAAAATCTCGCTGTCACTGATCTAACAAGGTGCTTATACTGAATCCAAAGCAACATCTGTCAACAATCTACTGTAAATCCCCTCTACATGTGTGATGCACTAACTACGTATAGATATATTCTGAGCCATTTAACAAAGTCATGAATTCTCAGTTTGAGAATATGAGCAGCTGTGCTTAACACTTCCCATTTATCTTTCTTTTGTGAAAGGTTTCAAAGACACACGCTAAATCAATGAATCTGGGCCAATTTCAGAGTCTTTTTTTTTTTTAACCCATGACCTCCATTCTCATACAATTAATGTTAATGGGATAAGGTGGTCAAAATCTTCGATTTTCTGGTGTTGGAGCAAAGATAGCATGCATCTGCTCGCTGTAATGACTGAAGAAGACAGACATTGCATCTTTAGACATTTCCTTGTAGGCTTCCTTCAGCTCAAAACATCTGGCTAGCAACATTTTATAAATACCGTATTTGGCCTAATACTTTCCTTTTAATGTTTTCCAGCCACACAGTTACAAGTGATGAATAAAAAGTGACCTACATGGGAACATAGTATCCTTAATAATAAAAAAAAAGCCTCAAGTTTGCCATAATCACCAAGTAGAACCATACTGATTCTGTAGTTGATTAAGAGGAAGACTGCTTCAACCAAAGCCATCCATCAACCATATTCCAATAGTTTCTTTGTTACAAATGTCAGGAACCCTTGCCCTTAAAAAGGATGACCTTTCATTATTTGTACAGTGAAAGCATTAGTTTATTTTCAGCTAAAAACATAAGACTAATATGACAACTTTGTACATTGCAAGAACTTCACATACGTAGCTTTGCACATGATCATGCAAGGAAGTCACACTGATAGTCTTGACACGTGCTCATCTTTGTTCTCCTCCCTCTTCTAGGAAGACCCTACCTCTACACCCTACTATTCTAAAAAGATCACACCTATTATATCCCCCTAGATAAATGTTAGAGCAATAATTCGTTATATGCTCTCAACGTGTTGTATGCAAGAGCTGTCCATGATGTTAGTTAATAGTTGTCAATATTTGATTGATAATTAATGATACTCCCCCAGAACCCCCCTTTATTAAGTGTTATTATAAAACATTGGTTCTGTTTAATAAACAGCAGACATTTTTTAAATCAGGCTCAATTGTATGTTCTGCATGAAGTGTCTCCAAATACTTGGAGAGTGGCACAATCTGGATAGAGGTATACTTTAAAGTCCATGGCAGAGGTCTGGTGATAACCTAGGAGTATGTTCCAACATACAGTCCTGTCAATAAACAGGTCACTGTAAAGGTATTTGTATATGCCATGCGTTGTTTTCCCCCCTGTTTGTTTATATGATGATTTCCTGAACTCAGCACAACTGACTCACTCAGGACATAGATTTTATTGCAATATATTGAAAATCCAAGAAATATGTTGTGCATTTGTTATACAGTAATTTTCCTATCTTTAATATAGTTCATTTAGACATTACATAACATTATATTATGCTGTATTACACCATTATTCTCTCAATTATCCAATGTATTACCTTCACCAACCTCTCTTTCCATATTTTTTTCCCCAACATGTCCCTCCCCCTTTCTGCCATCCACCGGTTATCTCAATTTCCCTTCCTCTGTACCTAATTAGATTCTGCAGATCACACTGTAACTGTGCAACACAGGATTTGCTGATAAGCATTGATCATGCGTCCTTCTTGGTGGTGTTCTGTGTTTGGATTGAAAGGCAGGAAAGTCTCTCTGCCTCTCATCTCACACACTTTATCCACATAAAAACACAAATACTGACCTGCATTTCGCCCTAGGAACATTTACAGATTAAATTTCAGGGGCCCTTTAAGACACACGGAGGGTCCATAACTTTTAGTGATGCTGTTTTAGGTTAAAAACTGTGTGAGGAACTGTACCACAGGCTCTAACTCCCTGTTTTCTTTTCTGTATCCCCACCCCATAAAACAAAAACATCTTTCAAAATAAAGAATTTATAAAAAAAAAAACTCTGTAAGGATCACCCAATGGACCCCACAGCCCTGTGAGCTCTAAAGGTGCAGCCCTGAGTAAGTAAAATTGTCAACTTTGTTTACATGTAACAACAATCAAAAATATCCAGCAACCATTGTACTGATGCATACACACATATTCAGATGTTGTGATGTTGCGGGACCTGTCTATTCTAACTTCTAAATCTGGAATGTATATGCTAGGCATTTAAAATGTTACTCCCCAGCCTATATTACTTGCAATATTGGTTTATACTAAATTGTTTATTTTTACATAATGTAGTAAACATATATTTATCAGCAACTTTTCTAAACGCAATTACATCTAGAGGAGGAAAATTTCAAAAAATAAATGTGTCAATTGTGTCATGGGTAAATACACAAGATGAGACTCTACTTAGTTAAATTGAAAATCCAACACAAATTTGCCTTGTGATTGTATTTGTACAAGTATGTTACGTATCTCTGGTGGTCACTCTGATGTACCTCGGTAATATAATTATGTGACAATTTATGCACACACTTGTCCTTTAGCTACCACAAGAACCAGATTTGATACAGACTGACAAATCCAATTGGTGTTACCTCAATTCCTACATTCTTCCTTAAATTGATTTTGCCAATGACCTAATGGAAATGAGATTGATTCAACGGCAGACAATTGCATACTTATCTATTCATTAGCAATGTTTTTACAAATTATATTAATCATGAAGCATGCTGGCCTCGTTAAGTGTCTCACCCAGGAGAGAAACAATACAGTTCTTTGAAGAAATCCTTAATAAAGACGTAGACGTCTGTTGACTGGAAACTTGAGAAACTGGTCAAAGAGCTTATGGTATCTGCAATATTTCCACCCCGGCAGTCAGCATTTCCGATGTCTGAAATGAACGATAAAAATCCCATCCAAAATTGAATGACATTTTTACCTTCACCAACCACGGCTTCGATAAATTAATTTGTGCATGGGTTCTCTTTCTTTTTCCTGCCAAATCCACTTTATTCTTGGCTTTTGTTGTTTTGTAGGAGAAGGGCGTCTGAAAGATGACCCAAGACTTGTCACAGCACACTGGCTTTTTTAATTAGGAGTTGGTCACACTCTGCTAAACATTCACTCTGCTTACTGAGATGGAACCTCAAAAAACAGTAACTTACACCTGCAAGGATTGTATCAAGATTCCAATTTCTTTTTCTTTATTTACCATTTATCATTTCTGAACAGATATTAATTTACATCAGTTTGTGCTAATGTTTGTTTTGTCTTTGTGCACAGTGTGAATGTGTGTATGGATTGATGATAGATAGGTGGATAGGTAGATAGATAGATAGTTAGATAGCATCCTGTATGTTACAAGTGAATACATAAATGTAGGAGCTCATTGCTAGTATAATACTCATTTCAAAACACCAAAACACTGTAGCACCTGCCCTCATAATGAAAACCAAAACCAAACTAAAAAATAACTAAAAAAGCTTTATTTCAGAAAATGTAACGGTATAATGGCCAAATATTGTAGGAATTGATGAAGGAAAAAATATTGCTTGCTCCATATCAATAATCTGTTTATTGGGTTGGTTCAGTGGTGGGGCTCAGAGTAATGGTATACATTTATCAGTAATGAAATTTAGCAGTTCAAGATTAGCTGGGGGATGTGTGAGAATCATTTGAAGAATTCTCATTATCTCTTGAGCCTCCTTTGAGACAAAGGAGGGATTGAAGTTGCACTTAACTTTTAGCGCTGGGGCCAGAGCAGGTGTATCAAATTCGAGATTCCAATAGAGGCATAGTTCTTGATCAAGCTCAGTCTCTTCCTACTCTAGCCATTTTAATTATTGGAGGAAAATATACAGGTGCTTTGGGTAACATATCGTTATCTATTAATGTTGCAGGACAAATAAGGTTGTCAGTATATCAATATTAAGTTGGTGTTGGCACTTTAAATCTCCATCGCAAAGCAACTTTCTCAAAAAGGCATTTAGGTTTTTGTCCAGACCATAACGTTTTCAACATTTAATGTTTGTGAATATTCTGTCAATCCTCATTCTTAGCTGATGGGTCTGCTAAATTGGGAAGCTTGGGTTCATACAGATTGTACTTGGTAGATAGAATTCTATACACCAACTTGTTTTTGTTGAGCTGCTTGAAGCAAACAGGAGTTAAAATGTGGTCGTGAACGATTGTTCGTGAGCCTGAATAATATTAATTGCCCTAGTATATATTGTGAGTTAATTATCTAAGAATTATTCGGTCATGGGCATTTTACTAAAGTGACCATGGACCCACCTTAGGAGAATTGTGTTAGCTGAGAGAGATTTTGAGTTGTTAAGGCAATAGGGCAATATAGGGAATATGGTCCAAAAGAGAGGTGCAAAGACAAGACAATGCATTAAAAAAGCAAGCAACAGAACAGTCTTGCAACAGTTATGGTGCACAGGTTTTTTCCCTAATGAAGTATTAACCCCTTAAGGACAGAGCCAAATGTACACGTTGTGAACGAAACAAAATGTAAACAAAACCTGGCATTTGCGCTACATGTCTGTCCAACCGTAATTCACCTCTTTCATAGTAAATGCACCCACCCTTATTATATATCATTTTATTCAGGGGAAACAGGGCTTTCATTTAATATCAAATATTTAGCTATGAAACATAATTTAATATGAAAAAAATGGGAGAAAATAAGGTTTTTAAATTTTTTTAGTTCTACATGACATTTTAACGGTCAATGTCATAATACTGTTTGCTTTTACTGCAATAAAATACACATATTTGTATTCAGCAAAGTCTCACGTGTAAAACAGTACCCCCTATGTACAGGTTTTATGGCGTTTTGGGAAGTTACAGGGTCAAATATAGCACGTTACATTTGAAATTGAAATTCGCCAGATTGGTTACGTTGCCTTTGGGACTTTATAGTAGCCCAGGAATTAAATTTACACCCATAATGGCATACCATTTGCAATAGTAGACAACCCAAGGTATTGCAAATGGGATATGTCCAGTCTTTTTTAGTAGCCATTTGGTCACAAACACTGGCCAAAGTTAGCGTTAGTATTTGTTTGTGTGTGAAAAATGCAAAAAATGCCTATTTTGGCCAGTGTTTGTGACTAAGTGGCTACTAAAAAAGACTGGACATACCCCGTTTGCAATACCTTGGGTTGTCTACTATTGCAAATGGTATGCCATCATAGGGGTAATTTTCATTCTACCATAGGGTCTTTAAGGCAACGTACCCAATCTGGCGAATTTTAATGTGAAAAAAATGAAACACAAGCCTTATATTTGACGCGGTAACTTTTGAAAACACCATAAAACCTGTACCTGAGGGGTACTGTTGTACTCGGGAGACTTCGATGAACACAAATATTTGTGTTTCAAAACAGTAACAAGTATCGCAGCAATAATATCGTCCGTGTAAGTGCTGTTTGTGCGTGAAAAATGCAAAAAAACTTCACTTTTACTGGTGATATCATCGTTGTAATACATTTTACTGTTTTGAAACACTAATATTTGTGTTCAGCGAAGTCCCCCAAGTAGAACAGTACCCCCATGTACAGGTTTTATGGTGTCTTGGAAAGTTATAGGGTTAAATATAGTGCTAGCAAATTAAATTCCCTTTACTTTCGGCATGGGTTGTCAGGCAGGTCCCGCTAATTGTAATTAATTAAGATACCCAATTATGTAAAAATATTACAGAAGTATATATGTAGAATTAATATATGTGTATATATATATATATATATATATATATACGTATGTGAATATATATGTATATATATATATATATATATATAATTTTTAAAAAATATTTTTATTTATATATAGGTATATATATATATAGTGATATATACGTATATATATATTTATTTATATAGATATATATATTATTTCGTTCTACGTGTATTTTGATATAAATATACATATATTAATATCACAATACAGTTAGAACGAAATAACACACATGTATATATTTTTTAATTATTTTTTTTATTATTTTTTTATTTTATTTAACGTATTTACATATTTAATTTTTTTATATTATATATAAATATATATATATAACAATAATTATATATATATTTAATCAGTATCAGTCTACGTGTAATTTGATATTAATATATAATTATATATATATTAATAGTAAAATACACCTAGACAGTGTACGTGTGTGTATGTATATGTGTATATATATACTTAGATCATATATATATATATTATATATATGATCTAAGTATATATTTTTTTTTTACACTTATTAACTTTTTTTATTTTATTTTCAGCCAGCAAGGGGACCACCTGTCATTACAGGCAGCCCCACTGCTGGCAATGTTGCAGCCAGCTATCCTGGCCATGTGATTGTGAGGTCCTCGCAAGGACCTCACTCTCACATGGCTGGGGGGGCTGCCAGGAGGAAGATCTGCCGCGGGGGGGGGGCTCCCTGGGATCTCCGGCGACCGGGTAAGTACAGAAAGACCGGAGGGCGTACTATTACTGGCCACTCCTAAGATGGCTGTTAGAAATCCTTCCTGGGTCATTGCTGCCTAAAATGCATACACACATTCAGTGTCTCCTCCCTCTGCATGCAGACACTGAACTTTCCTCATAGAGATTCATTGATTCAATTCATCTCTATAAGGAGATGCTGATTAGCCAGGGCTGTGTTTGAATTGTGCTGGTTCTGCCCCTGATCTGCCTCCTTGTCAGTCTCAGCCAATCCTACGGGGAAGCACTGTGAGTGACTCAGAACAACACTTCTGATGATGTCAGGAGACAGGTTGCTATTCTGAGGCAAACAGCATGCAGAGCTACAGCTTCAGGCTTGAATACAAGTACAATTTTGCTATATTTAGGGAGGCATGAGGGGCACAGGGGGGCTAGATGGTGGTTTTAACACCATAGGGTCAGGAATACATGTTTGTGTTCCTGACCCTATAGTGTTCCTTTAACACTATTGAACTGAATTTCTTGGATCATGAACTGCAGCAGATGCACATATCTTCTTTATCAAAGTAATTGCGTTTCACACATATGGTTTGGTGATTTAGTGCACACCCAATAGGGGCAAATGTAAACAAGCCCCACTTGCGTGCTTTATGTCTCAACGTTCCTACAATTGCAGAGAAACAAAAAAATCTGTAATCATTTTAATTGAAGCTCTTTTCTCATAGCAGTGTTTGCGATCTGAAGTCCTTTTTATATGAACACAGAGAACATTAAACTGTAGATTTGTATGCTAGACGTCTGCACCTGAAAGGTTTATGCACAGCACAAAATACACTGCCAGATCTACTTAAAACATAACTGTCTCTGCATTCTGTATTTAACACCTATATTCTCACGTAGTGGGATAGGTGTCTATACTGATCAGATCCCTGCGGTCTTTATTACATCGTTCGGTGAGCAGATGGGATATTATATTAAGGTTAAAAACATTCTTTTTTTTTTTTATAGGTCTGTTGTGATATAAATTGAAGGATTACAGAACTGGCAACAAGCCCTTTGCCAAACGACGTTCTTCCAGGCCTCCAAATTTATGTCAGAGTGTCTGGACAACAGTAATGAACTGATAATAAAAAATACAACTTGTTTCTAGAGTGCTTTCTTTGTTCGATTTAGCATCTCTCGAAGATGTTAGCTTCCTGTTGATTAATGATTTTAACACTATTTGCTGACCTACAAATGTAAATTCCACTTCGAGATTAAAGTTTATGAGTTTTTAAGCTGCTCCTGTAGCTGATGCTTGCTCCGAGCTTTTATTTTGCATTTACTGGGACATAAAATGAAGGAGCGGCAATATTTCGTTGAACACACCTGCAGTATGAGATTCCAGAATGTTATTTCCCCTTGGTTCCTGGAAGACTTTGTTTTGACACCTGCAAATAACCTCTTCCAAAGCAGTATATAGCTCTCTCTCTCTCTCTCTCCGAATTATCCTGCCACCCAAGATGAACAGCTAATAAAGTCAGATTTGGAAAAAGATTCACAGTAAAAGCAGTTACCAAAGGATTGTTTTGTTCTGAGCCGTTTCAATTCACCTACTACACGTCTAGTTGTTGTACTGCGTTGAACTTGTTTCATTTGCTTCCAAAAATCCCTTGGCACTTTAAAGAATGGGATTGTAAGGATTTGTAAACTCGTAATAAAAAGGAAAAATGCTTAGGGGTGTGTTTCGGGAAGGTCCTAAAGGATGCATTCCTGCACTTTCTTGAAAAAGGCATAATTAAGAGGAATTTATACTCCAGTTTTCACCAAAGAAGTCTTTCAAGCGTCTATTATATTTTATGGATTGCATGCACCTCAGCGAGAGAGATGTGAGACGTGTCAGAATATATAGCTAGGCTGTAAAAGAAGAGAAAATAATGCACTTTTTATACGTTCTTCTACATTGTTTTTCTTTCCAATAGGCTTTTGTAAATGCATGGGATTCTGGGAGGTGGCATATAAAAATAAATAAATAAATCTAATCATAGTTTACTTATTCACATGTGATATCACATTGAAGGTCTTAATAAAATTAGCATGAATTGACCTCGTATTACATTTTCTAAATGTAACTTTTCTCCCAGAAATGATCACCATAATCTATTTTATGGGGGGCTGCAGTAAGCAATCTGCAACTACACAATCTAAAAGCCACTGTCATCATTTGTTGTTTTTTTTTTTTAGTTAACCCCCTAAGGACCACATGATGGTCTATGCCATCATGCAGTGCAAGTCTTCAACGTCCAGTTATATCCCTGCTGGTACCAAGGAACCCCAGGTATCTTTCTATACCTGAGGGCCCCCTCTCTCAGCTGGGGCCACAGTCAGTGGTCCCAGACTGGCAGATGAGCTATGAGCAGCACTCATGTATGTACGTAGTGGGGAATCGTGATGCAGCCTAGAACAAAATCCAACCCCATTCAACCCCCCCAATAACGACAGACCACTTAGTATGGATGAAACAGGCCACAGCATTTATTATCACAAACTAAATTACTGCATAACACATCCATAATTTTATTTATTAAATCTCTTCTTTTCTGTAACCAAAATGTTAGACATAAATAAGCATAAATTAACATATATACATATATAACTCCACCCATAGTGTTATACAGTGACCCAACCGTCCTTGCCAATAAACATAGAGTGGTTCCTAATCACCACTTCCTCTCACCTCCCCCCACGTCATAAAAATCATATATTTCCAATGCCTGCCATCAGCCGACTTTACCCACGCTCGATGGGCACGAGACCTCAGGCAACCTAAAGTTTAACCTTTGAAGCAGGGGAGGTTTGAGACCTTAAAAAACTTGTTCATCTCATTCCATATCCTTAAACGTAACCTCAAACTCAATTGGCAAGGACATACCCCCGGCTAGCTGTGACGAAATATACTATGGGGTGGGCGGGAGGGAAGCTGTTTGCTGGCCCGAATCCCAAGTGGCACTGAGGTAAGACCTCCCCCACACTAACTTACACAGAACATAATCACACCCACAGACTCTTTCCCTACCAATCCCATGCATCTATCCCCACACTCCTACATGTGCCCTTGTCCGCTTAGCTGCGCTATCTCCCCAGGGCCTTGTATGTAGGTAGTGGGGAATCGTGATGCAGCCTAGAACAAAATCCAACCCCATTCAACCCCCCCCAATAACGACAGACCACTTAGTATGGATGAAACAGGCCACAGCATTTATTATCACAAACTAAATTACTGCATAACACATCCATAATTTTATTTATTAAATCTCTTCTTTTCTGTAACCAAAACGTTAGACATAAATAAGCATAAATTAACATATATACATATATAACTCCACCCATAGTGTTATACAGTGACCCAACCGTCCTTGCCAATAAACATAGAGTGGTTCCTAATCACCACTCTCTCTCACCTCCCCCCTCGTCATAAAAATCATATATTTCCAATGCCTGCCATCAGCCGACTTTACCCACGCTCGATGGGCACGAGACCTCAGGCAACCTAAAGTTTAACCTTTGAAGCAGGGGAGGTTTGAGACCTTAAAAAACTTGTTCATCTCATTCCATATCCTTAAACGTAACCTCAAACTCAATTGGCAAGGACATACCCCCGCCACAACCCCGCTGTTTTACACCTAAAATCAGCGGGGGACCCCACCACAACCAGCCATGGCCTGTTCCACCACTTCTTGCAGCGCTAGATCAGCAGAGGCCAAGTCCGACCTCCAGCAAGCGCACCCCACTCTACGAGAAAACCAGGCCACATTTGGCCAAACCCAAAAGGCGAACTGGAAGTGTTTATGTTTTATATATTCATTTTGCCAGTTATGTATTTAGTCATTTAGTTATGGCCACCACAAACCTAGAAACCCATCTAGTCTGATGACCGACGGCAGCGCACCAGGGCACTCACATTGCGGAGTGCACTGCCAACAGAAAAGGGGCGATAGGCACAGCCTAGCCCCTGAGAACCTCGGGGAAGAAACGTAATGCGTAACATGTCCAGATCGAAGAGAACCCAAGTCCTAAACCACCACCGGCCCATGTCATTCCACCCAGGGATGACAAAACCCTTGGTACCCCATGAGGCGGGGCAGCTGACCCTGTATGAGGAGGAGCCACACCCCCTTTCACGTAGCCGGAGCCAGACCACCGAACCTCCGCCCCAGAAGGAGGAAGATCCAACCACTCGCCCCTGCCTCCCTTTCCAACTTACCCACGAAAACCCCGCCCTCCCCAGTCCGGGGGGGCGGGGGGGGGAGAACCGTAAACGCGGAGATAAATCCAAGCAGAGACCAGCAAGGCTAACCCAAGGAACCCACCACCCTGACTCCCACCATTCGAGCCCTCTGAGCCATCGGCGCAGGCACGCCCAGCCTGGCGGTGTCTTTAGCCGCCCCAACCAAATTAAATGCCCCTTGAAAACCCCACCATCCTTATCCAGGAGTCCGAGCCGCCAAGAGGAACACCCCAACTAAATGGACGCGGGGGTGGAAAACCCATCTCCGAGAACCAAACAGGGGAGGAGGCCGAACAATCCAAGGGACGGAACAGTACTCCCAATGAAAAACAGGCCAATGACGGAACCCTGCACCGCCCCCGATCGGAACGGTATATTACAGACCATCCTGGAAACCCATTACAGCATGGCAGGAGCCCCAACCATCACCCCGTGCATCCCACCAACCCCAGGAGAATGCAGAAAGTCAAACCCGCGACATCCAAGAATTGAACAGATTCTATCGATGAAACAACCAAACTCAAACCAACCTACCCTTCCCAACGACAACAGCCATCGAGCTGCGAAACCTGAAGGAAGTCCGTGCCAACGCTCCCTCAACTCCACCAAAACACCCTCCCACTTGCCGACTACCGTAACATGAACGGGAAGCCGAGCCCCGCTACTCGCAGAAATCGCCCCCAACGCCCGCAATAGACGGAACCAAACATGTAGATGAGCAGACCAATCCCGGGACCCAAAAGGAAAACGTACCCAACCGTCCCGAACACTCCAACCTTACTGGAGCGGGCCCCACACCGCCCTAGAGATCGCCCACAGACCAGCTGCAGCAGACCGTCGGACCAAGGGACCACACCTCTACTGCCTTACAAATGGACCCCGTGACACCACCACCTGAAGTAGGCTCGATAATGAACAAGACAGAGCATCGGCCACCAAATCGGCAACAACCGGACAAAAACCTTGACCAGCCGCCTCTAGACTCAAATAGCACCGAGCCAGAGTACCAAAGTACCACCGGGGTATAGGGTACTGTCACATGTGAAAAACAGCCAGCAGCACCCCACGATGGTCCCCAAGGAAAACCCCCCACCCGTTCGTGAGCCGGGTAACCCATGCCTACCATGCCACCAGAAAGGGGGGACCTCCAAGAACACCAGAGTCCGCCAGAGCCAGCGTATTGGGCAAGAGACAGCACCACCGAGAGCCCAAATGGCCCAAAACCCCAAAACCTGCTGCGGCAGGCAAAACCGTTGGAAGCCAGCGGAAAGGACACAGGGGGCCAGATTGCACAAGCCAGTGGTAAAGGAGGCCCAGCAGGAACCCCCATACAGTCCCAAGGGCAACCCCAATAGGCAAAGCCCAGCGTACCCAAGAGAGACCACGGGTAGCGCAGCCAAAACCCACAACGCCCCTCCAAACCACCGACGCCTCCTGCCTGACGCCCCAAAACCGCAGCCAGGGGCACCGACGTTCCCCTTACAGGAATTGATCCCACTATCCAGGAGACAGGAGCACACATCCCGACCCACGGAGAAGGCCTGGGCCCCGGAACTCCGAAACTCCAAACAAAACACTACCCCAAGAAAAACACTGCAGCAGCAGAGTGCGCACATGCGACACTGACGGCCCCACACATAAGCGACATCGGGAGCAACTTACATGGAGGCACTTTAGCCACCTAATCCTGACCGTCAGAAACACAGCCCGGAAACCACACCTCGACGGGCGTACCGGCAGCCTCGTCAGCAAGGCCCCAGGGCCCCGCAGCCCCACCCACGCAGACCACTGCGCCGAGCCACCAACTCAAACCCAGCCCTCGGAAGGAAACGACAACCGAGTAAATAAGGAATCGGGGGATATCAACCCCGCTCCTCCATGGGCACCACATCCCAACGGGGGGACCCGCAGAGCGGACTCCAGGGGCACCGTAAACGAGCGGGAAGTAAGCTAGGCGAGCGTGCGTGGTAAACTGGACCCGCACCACCCGAAGGAGCTCTCACATGGACTGAGGGTCCCGCACCGAGAGCAACCAAGTCCCCATCCCAACAGATTGCAGAGAGGCACCAGGCGAGTCCTAAGCAAAACCAGAGGCTGAAGCCCATCCGGCCCCGGGCCAAGAAGGGTTGCACCGCCACGAAAGCGCAAAACGTACCTCCACCAACCCAGCTCCTCCCAGGGACGATATGCGTCCCGGAAGTGTCCTGACCGCAGAACCACGCAGTGCATTCTCGGGGAGCCCTCTCCCCGACCATGCTATCCAGAACACAGGGTGCATTTGAATATGCACCCTGGGGCGCAACCGACCACAGCATGCTCCCCATGACCCTCCTGGAGCCCCTAATGTCCCTCTTAGCCAAGGGACCCCCGTGGCAGGAGGGAACACACCTGTAATAAAGCCCCTTCCCCCATATGCTCCCTAGTAGTGCGCGCAAGCCAAGCGGGCCATATTAGCTCAGCAACACCCAGAGTCATGCGAACCTGGGAGGCACCGCCGGCGCTATCCGCTGCGCCAGACACTGGTACCTAACAAATGAGACATACTGAAAACGAAGGGGGGGAAAGCGCTGTCCTTGTACCCAGACTTTCCTCGTGTTTTTTTTTTTTGGGGGTTGATCATCCATCACCGTGTACTTGACAGTTAAATCACGGTTGTATGTTCTGTTATCTGGCTGTCGTTTAATTCATTCCATGCGGTAATTGACACAAATTTATTTTCTGTACTGCAAATTACTATTTTTTTTTTTTTTTATATATCATTGTTGTATTTTTTATTATTTTTACCGTGCTAGGAGGACCAGACTGAACAACGAAGGAACAACGTATGCACGCGAAGCGCTAAAGAGGGGGGGAAAGTACTCACCAGACGCAGAAGGACGAGGCAAAGAAACAACAGTACCAGCATCCATAAACGACAACAGCTGTGATCCAGGCGCCACCTGCTGGACGGGTCCACGAACTGCAGCAGATTCCAGAGAAGAGAGCAGTGGAGAAGAGGAGAGCCCACGCCCCAGAGGAGACGGCCGAGGTAAGTGACCAGCAGGGGGGGGGAGCAGCTAGATAGAGGAGGGGGGGGAGAACATAGAGGGGTGGACAGAAAGAGAACAAGGCTAAATAAGGGGGGGGGAGGTGCAGGCTAGAAAGAGGAGGGGGGGGGATAACAGAGAGGTAGACAGAGAGGGAATGGAGACCCAGGGGAGGGGGAAAGAATAGGAGGGGGAAAAAGGAGGGGAGAGGGCAGGCCCACTAGAGGAGAGAGAGGGGGGGAGAAGGAAGCAGAAAATGGGGAAGAGGAGGGGGGACCAGGGGGCCCAAGAAAGGGAGAGCTGGGTCCCCTGGGAGAAGAAGGGGAGACAGCACTCTGGGAGCCTTCCTCACTGGCAGAGGAGGCTCCCGATGGGCAAAGAGACCCCCCAAATCCCAAACGGCGGTACTAAGGTACCCCGTGCGGCCCGCGGGGGCCTACTCACTGCCCCAACCCCCCGCCGGCCGCGGGGGGACCTGGACTGGTGCCGGGCGGCCGTCCGCCGCCCGGAGTGCTGAATCCGCCGCCCACCGCCCCCGGCCCGCAATCCAGCGCTGGCGGCCGGGGCGGATGGTGTGGTAGGGGGGGGGGGCATGTGTGTGCCGCGCGGCAGACGCCCCAGGTGGCCGCGCGGCATTAGCAGGCCGCATCCCCGGCCTTGCAGTCAGGGACCGTGCGGCCATAGACACAGCAGGCCGCGTGGTGGTAGGAGGCCGCATCCCCGGCCTGGGAGTACCAGGCCGGGCGGCAATGTAGGCGGCTGGCCGCGCGGCAGTGGCAGGCCTCGTGGCAGAAGGCCGTGCCACGCGCGCGGCCACAGAAAAGCCGCAAATCCAGGCCCCAGTTGGTAGGCCCGGGCTCCGCCTCATCAACCGGGCCCGAGGGGTATTATCAGGAGAGAGCCTGGCAGTGCTGGTGCGGCCCCCAGGGGCAGGGACCGCATGGGAGGCAGCAGGGGAGACCGCAGGGGGTGCTCCAGGAGGAGGTAGGCCGCGGGGGGGGGGCCCACACCGGTAGCCATACCTCATTAATGCTTGCCAATTGTTCCCACAGGAGCCGGCCACCATCCACGCTGCAGCAGCCCTGAGGGAAGCCAGAAAGCCTCAACCATCAAGCTGTGTCAATCTGCAGGCCCAGGCAAACAGGAGCTGGAGGACAGGAAGCTGTTTGCTGGCCCGAATCCCAAGTGGCACTGAGGTAAGACCTCCCCCACACTAACTCACACAGAACATAATCCCACCCACACACTCTTTCCCTACCAATCCCATGCATCTATCCCCACACTCCTACATGTGCCCTTGTCCGCTTAGCTGCGCTATCTCCCCAGGGCCTCACACACACACACACACACACAAGACACACATACAAAGACACATACATACAAACAGACAGGCATACACACACAGAGACAGGCACACAGACAGACACACACACACACACACAGACACACACACACACACACACACACAGGCACACATACATACATACATACATACACACACACAGACAGGCACACATACAGACACACACACAAGACACATACATACAAACAGACAAGAACACATACATACAGACACACACACAGAGATATGCACACACACACATACAAACACACACATACAAAGACACACACATAAGACATACATAGACACATACACAAGACACACATACAAAGACACATACATAAGACACACATACATACAAAGACATATACACACAACACATACAAAGACAAGACACACATACATACACACATATACAGACAGACACACACACACACACAAGACACACATACATACAAAGACACATACACACGCATACATACACACACACACATTATATTTAAGTCACCCTCCTGTTTCCTACCTTTAAGGTGCAGGAGGGTGACTTTCCCTGGGGTCCAGTGGTTGCTCAGATGGATGGGAGTCAGAGTTCCCACTCTGACTCCCTCCTCCTTCCGTCCGCGCGGCTCTCAATGTTAGCTGGGAGGAGTGACGTGCAATCACTACCTCCCAGCTCTGTGATGTCATCACAGGGGGCCCGGTCACGCTGTTAAAGCGCCCAGCGCTGACCGGGCCCCCTTACAATCCACATCCATCGGGTGGCCCTGACTGCATGGGCCATCCGATGGACACCTTGGAAGGCGGCCCCAGCGGTTTATAGTGACGGCGGTGCCCGGTCGCAGGGGTACTGCCGGCTCGCACCCGCCCGGTCTATCAAAACGAGGAAATCCCTACCGCCCACCTGGAATCCTGAAACGCCCACTAGTGGGCGGTAGGGACCAGGTTGACGACCGATGTTCTAGACAAACACACACAAGATCTCCTGTACACACACTGCACCATCTACACACTCTGCACCATCTACACACATTGCACCATCTACACACTCTGCACCATCTACACACACTACACCATCTACACATACTGCACCATCTACACATACCGCACCATCTACACATACTGCACCATCTGCACACACAGCACCATCTACACATACTGCACCATCTACACACACTGCACCATCTACACATACCGCACCATCTACACACTCTGCACGATCTACACACACTGCACCATCTACACATACTGCACCATCTACACATACCGCACCATCTGCACACACTACACCATCTACACACACCGCACCATCCGCACACACTGCACCATCTACACACACTGCACCATCTATACATACTGCACCATCTACACATACTGCACCATCTGCACACACAGCACCATCTACACATACTGCACCATCTACACACACTGCACCATCTACACACACTGCACCATCTACACACACTGCACCATCTACACACATACCGCACTATCTACACACTCTGCATGATCTGGGCTACCACACTGCACCCTATCTCCACACACTCTGCACCATCTACACACACTGCACCATCTATACATATACTGCACCTACCTACACATACTGCACCATCTGTACAATATTAAGCACCATCTACACATACTGCACCATCTACACACACTGCACCATCTACACATACCGCACCATCTACACACTCTGCACGATCTACACACACTGCACCATCTACACATACTGCACCATCTACACATACCGCACCATCTGCACACACTACACCATCTACACACACCGCACCATCCGCACACACTGCACCATCTACACACTCTGCAATCTACACACACTGCACCATCTACACACTCTGCACCATCCACACATACTGCACCATCTACACACTCTGCACCATCTACACACACTGTACCATCTGCACACACTGCACCATCTACACACACTGCACCATCTACACACTCTGCACCATCTACACACACTCCACCATCTACACACACTGCACCATCTACACACTCTGCACCATCTACACACTCTGCACCATCTACACACACACTGCACCATCTACACACTCTGCACCATCTACACACACTGCACCATCTACACACTCTGCACCATCCACACATACTGCACCATCTACACACTCTGCACCATCTACACACACTGTACCATCTGCACACACTGCACCATCTACACACACTGCACCATCTACACACTCTGCACCATCTACACATACTCCACCATCTACACACACTGCACCATCTACACACACTGCACCATCTACACACACTGCACCATCTACACACACTGCACCATCTACACACTCTGCACCATCTACACACACTGCACCATCTACACACACTGCACCATCTACACACACTGCACCATCTACACACACTGCACCATCTACACACACTGCACCATCTACACATACTGCACCATCTGCACACACTGCACCATCTACACACTCTGCACCATCTACACATACTGCACCATCTACACACTCTGCACCATCTACACACACTGCACCATCTACACACACTGCACCATCCACACATACTGCACCATCCACACACTCTGCACCATCTACACATACTGCACCATCTACACACTCTGCACCATCTACACGCTGCACCATCTACACACACTGCACCATAAACACACTGCACCATCTACACATACTCTGCATTCCTGACATACACACTCTGGATCTAATATGCACATAATAGATCCCCTGTATGCAAATAAAAACACAAGATTACCTAAACACACACTCTCTACAACTTCTACACACACTACATCAATACACCAACACACTACAGCCCCTATGCACACACTGGCTACATCCCCTATATACACACTATGCTCCTATAAACACACACGCTCTCATTTTGTACAGATCCTAGCTACACATTTTACACTACAAACTCAACACGACTGAAACTGACACCTATTTACAAAATATTCTACACCACCATTAACTCACTCCACACACACACACACACACACACACACACACACACACACTTTCCTAGCCCTTTTGTCACTTATGGAGACACCTGAGACAAGTCACAAGCAAATGCAGCACAAGCGTGTCATTAAATTAGTTTGCGCTGCACAGAACAATCACAGGGCCACTGTGATTACAAAATCGTCAACATTTTTATCTCAGTCCGGCCCTGTGTGACAATATACCGAAGGCCCAGAGGAAACATTTATTTTCCTATCTGCTATGGTTCCCCTAAGGTTTTCCCAAAGGAGTTTTCTCTCCCCTGAGTGGAGAAGGAAAACATTGAAGGTGAAACCTCAGAATATTGCTTTACCTTAATTCCCCTTACCTTTCCCACTAGGTTGTACTACTATTGTGAGCTAACCTATGGGAAGGTTGCCCCACTTGTTGCTCCACGGTCGTAACCTAATGATTTTGACCCACCTTCCTAAGCTTGCCTGACTTTGTTTATTCCTGCTGAGTAAAAGGAGGAATTGAAAAGGTTAATATATCATGCTATCTGTTCAAGTAAAATTAGGTTAAAACTATTTATCATACTAT